CAATATTACCATTATTACTTACAAATCAAAAATTGATTTCTTTATCCATTTAAGATCAAAATGGGTAACTTTATTATAATTATTTCCTTCCCAATCTTCATGTTCTATAAGGACATTTTTTAATTCTTCTAATGAGTCCTTAAATTAAAAATATATTAATATAAAATATATTCGGGAAGGTGTTTATTAGTGATGTTATCCAAACCCGAATAGAATAATTACAGCATTCTACCTAATTTGAAATTAGGATTAGAACTTATCCTTTAAGTTCCAAATCATCAGGTTTTGGTAATATTAATAACATTTATATACTTACTTTATCATATTTTAGAAGAAATTCCAAAAGATTATCAGACAATTCAGGAAATTCTTTACTATGGCATAAACGAATTTCATCAAGTTCTTCGTTAGTAAAAATTGTTTCATATATTTTATCATCAGGATCTATAATGAATGAATGAGCAAGACTTATAAAAAAAAATTTTTAAAATTTAATGTAAAATGTTAATAATGACAATACGATATCAGTAAATAGCCTAAAAATAAACTATCATGGCTACTATTGATAAAAATTAAGATTATTGAGCTACTTACTGCTCAAAATTTGCAGACATCGCAAAGTTGAATAAAGCATCTTCTACACACTTTCCACTAGATAAATGCCACTTAGATTGATTGTTCATTTTATAATAAACATCTTCTACCTCCTTCTTCATTAAAATTGACATTTTGGAAGGTTGTTCAGAGTCTGAAGAAAATTGTTCTAAATCCGAATCTTCTCCATTGGATAAAGAATATAGATTCTCAATGTCAGAATCCGTAAAATTTATTTCAGTTACTTCATTCTGTCCTCTACTTTGTACCATCTCTTTTAATGTAAGTGTTGCATTTGTGATAAATGTTTGAATATCCGTTTAGAAATTTTGTTCATAAGTTTCTCTTGCAATTGTAAATTCCTCCGACTAAGTAAAGTTAATAATGTAATATTGTATAAATAAATTTTTCAAGTGTAAATTAAACAAAACTTACATTATTATATTCCAAGAGATTTTCTACAAATTTTACAATTGGTTTTGGAGTAGAGCGATTCCTTTTAATGCCTTTAAGACATAATTCCCAACTACGAAAACACTCATCAAATGTTTTTGGTGGATCAGGTGTATATATTTTATTAACGTAATAAAATTGAAATGACCATCTCTGTGCTTTTGTTTTTCTGAAAAATTCATATTTTCTGCCGTTTGTGTTCATAAATGTGTAATTGTTAAATTC